CTCCCCCCCGGCGCGCGCCGCCAGGGCTCGAACTGCCCTGTCCATCCCGTCGGGAGGCGAGCCCGTCCTGCGAGTGGGCAGCCCTGCGAGCGGGCGGCCCACGAGGCGGGCATGCCCCCCGGGAGCGGAGGCGCGCAGCCCACGGCCGCTCCGACTGTTGCGGGTCGGTTTCCCGCCGGCGCCGCCCGAGACTATATACGAATTACCTAACAGCTTTGGCTGATCGGTTTCTAGGGGTCTGGGCGGGATCCGGACAAGGAACCGGACAAAAGTGCAGCCCCAGGAATCCTCTGGAATCCTTGCGAATTCTTGGGAATCCTGAGGAATCCATTCCCAGAACACCATTCCCAGGCCACATTTTGAATGCCCGGAGCCAACTGTAGGCCACTTCGTGTTCTTCGTCTTCCCAGAACACCATTCCCAGGCCACATTTTGAATGCCCGGAGCCAACTGTAGGCCACTTCGTGTTCTTCGTCTTCCCCGAACACAATTCCTGTACCATATTTTTGATTGCCCGGAGCCAACTGTAGGCCACTTCGTGACTTTCGTGTTCCCAGAACACTGGTCCTGTGCCATGTTTTGAATGCCCGAACTGAGGCAGGCTGAGGCCGAGGCAGGCCTTGCCGAGGCAGGCTGAGGCTGAGGCTGAGGCAGAGGCACGCCGAGGCAGGCTGAGGCTGAGGCTGATGCTGAGGCAGGCTGAGGCTGAGGCAGGCTCAGGCTGAGGCTGACGCAGGCTGAGGCCGAAGCAGGCTGAAGTTGAGGCTGAGGCAGGCTGAGGCTGAGGCAGGTTGAGACTGAGGCTGAGGGAGGCTGAGGCTGAGGCTGAGGCAGGCTGAGGCTGAGAGGCTGACGCTGAGGCTGAGGCAAGCTGAGGCTGAGGCCGAGGCAGGCTGAGGCTGAGGCTGATGCAGGCCGAGGCAGGCTGAGGCTGAGGCTGAAGCTGAGGCAGGCTGAGGCGGAGGCTGAGGCTGTGGCTGAGGCTGAGGCAAGCTGCGGCTGAGGCAGGCTGTGGCTGAGGCTGATGCAGGCCGAGGCTGAGGCAGGCTGAGGCTGAGGCTGAGGCAGGCTGAGGCTGAGGCTGAGGCCGAGGCAGGCTGAGGCTGAGGCCGAGGCGAGCCGAGGCAGGCTGAGGCTGAGGCTGAGGCTGATGCTGAGGCAGGATGAGGCTGAGGCAGGCTGAGGCTGAGGCTGAGGCTGAGGCAGGCTGAGGCTGAGGTAGGCTGAGGCTGAGGCTGAAGTAGGTTCAGGAGGTTGAGGCACGCTGAGGCTGAGGCAGGCTGCGGCTGAGGCAGGATGAGGCTGAGGCTGAGGCTGATGCAGGCTGAGGCTGAGAGGCTGACGCTGAGGCTGAGGCAGGCTGAGGCTGAGGCTGAGGCCGAGGCAGGCTGAGGCTGAGGCTGAGGCTGAGGCAAGCCGAGGCAGGCTGAGGCTGAGGCTGACGCTCAGGCAGGCTGAGGCTGAGGCGGCTGAGGCAGTGGCTGAGGCTGAGGCAAGCTGCGGCTGAGGCAGGCTGAGGCTGAGGCTGAGGCTGATGCAGGCTGAGGCTGAGGCAGGCTGAGGCTGAGGCTGAGGCAGGCTGAGGCTGAGGCTGAGGCTGATGCAGGCTGAGGCTGAGGCTGAGGCTGATGCAGGCTGAGGCTGAGAGGCTGACGCTGAGGCTGAGGCAGGCTGAGGCTGAGGCTGAGGCCGAGGTAGGCTGAGGCCGAGGCTGAGGCTGAGGCCGAGGCAGGCTGAGGCTGAGGCTGAAGCTGAGGCTGAGGCTGAGGCTGAGGCTGAGGCTGAGGCAGGCTGAGGCTGAGGCCGAGGCAGGAGAATCCTTCGGAATCCTTAGGATTCCTAAGGAATCCTCAGGAATCCATAGGAATCCCCAGGAATCAGGATTCCTAAGGATTCCAAGGTTTCCTAAGGATTCCTATGGATCCCTAAGGATGCCTAAGGATGCCTTAGGAATCCCTAGGAATCATTAGGATTCCATTGGATCCTAAGGCCGTTGCCACTGCGACTGTCATTGCGAATGCTACTGCGACTGCGAGAACAGCAGAATTCTACAACTGGATTCTCACCTGAATCTTAAGGGGAATGCTTCCAGATATGCTTATACACATCGCTATTAGGTTGGTTTGCCGGGATGATGTTATGTGTGCGCCGCCCCCCCAGGGGCGACGCACGCGCCGAGAAATCTGTCTGTACAGCTCCGTATAAGCTCCGTGGTGGGCGCTTTCTGGCCGCACCGCTCGGGGAACCATTACAAGATGGTTGTACTAATTGTATGTTCCGGGCTCCTGGGGCCTCCTGGGGGCTCCTGGGGGATTCCAGGTGCCTCCTACAAGCTCCTGGGCTCCTGGGGGCTCCTGTGGGCTTCCTTGTGGCTCCTGGGGGCTTCCTGGTGCCTCCTGGGGGCTCCTGGGGGCTCCTGGGGGCTCCAAGGGGCTTCCTGGGGTCTTCCTGGGTGGCTTCCTGGGGGCTCCTGGGGGCTCCCAGGCGCTTCTGGGGGCCCCTGGATGCTCCTGGGGGCTCCTGTGAGCTTCCTGGGGCTTCCTAGGGGCCTCCTGGGGCCTCTTGGGGGCTCCTGGGGGCTCTGGGTGGCTCCTGGGGGCTCCTGGAGTTTCCTGGAGCCTCCTGGGGGCCTCGTGGGGCCTCCTGGGGCCTCCTGGGGCTTCCTGGGAGGAGCCTGGGGGTGGCTTCACGGGGCTTCCTTGTGTGTCCAGGGGCCTGCCGGGGTTTTTGTCGGGCGCACGCCTCCAAGGCGGAGATATAGTGCTAGTATGTCTTTGTGCGTGCCATCCCGGGGAGAGCGGGGCACCTCCCCACCGTGCTCGATCTCCAGGCGTACTTCCAGACGGACGCGTGTCTCCCCCCCCCTCCTGGGGAAAGAAAGCGCACCTTCGCCCCACCTGGCCAGGTTGCCCAGGCTCATCTTCCGAGGACTGGTCGTCCAAGCAGGCCAGCAATCGCGAGTTATTCGCTTGCATGGTTTTCCGCGGGGACGAAGAGAGACAGCCTGCCATACTATGGCAATGACGGGTGTGCCCGTGCCAGGTGGAGAGGGGCCGCCGCTTTCACTGGACGCCTAGCGATGGCTGATTCCCAGACGGCGCTTGCGCGAACCGTGGCGTGACCAGGAGTGGGGAGGGGGGGGGGTGCGGAGCAAGTCACGGGCGTGATCTGGAACAACGGGAGCAAAGGCTTTCAGGGCGGGGCCAGAGAGTTTCCGGCCCCCGATCGCGTGGATGGCGTGCTCCTAGACGGAGGTTTGCCGCACCTGGTGCACGCCTCCGAGGCTCGACCCTCGGGTGCCGCGGTTGCATTGATGGGCCTGTTTTCCGTTACCACCACCAGAAGTTGGAGGGGGGAATTGAGGTGGAGGACGAGGAGGAGGAGGAGGAGGTGGAGGAGGAGGAGGTGGAGGAGGAGGAGGAGGAGGAGGTGGAGGAGGAGGAGGCGGAGGAGGAGGAGGAGGTGGAGGAGGAGGAGGAGGAGGAGGATGAAGAAGAGGAGGAGGAGGAGGAGGAGGAGGAGGAGGAGGACCCCCTCCCCCTCCAACTTCTGTTGGTGGTGGTGGAAACCAGGCCCATCAGGTGCACGCCTCCAAGGCTCGACCCTCGGGTGCCGCGGCTGCATGGCTGTCGCGGGGAAAAAGAAACTCCCCCCTCTGGGGCTGCCCCCGATCGTCCCAGACGGAGGCGTGCCGCAATCGGTGCGCGCCGCCCGGGCTCGACCCTCGGAGGTGTGTGCCTGGCCTCACCGGCTCGCTCCAATGGCCGCCTCGGCGGCGGGGCGGCAGCGCGCGCTCGAGCGTTGGCTCCCCCTGTCCCAATCTGCGGGCCCGTTTTCCACCACCGCCACCATAAGTTGGATGGGGGAAGGAGGAGGAGGAGGAGGAGGAGGAGGAGGAGGAGGAGGAGGAGGAGGAGGAGGAGGAGGACCCCCTCCCCCTCCAACTTATGGTGGTGGTGGTGGAGCACAGGCCCATCAACTGCGTCTTGGAACTTCTGCGGAGGGGCGCCAGGAGGCCGACGCGCAGTGGCCATGGGCGAACATCCAGGCTCTACGGGGGCCAGGTTCTTGCGTACCCGTATCCACTGCGCGCGCCGCGGGTTTTTGGGGAGGGCAGCCCGAAGCGCCAAGACGCAGCGGCTGTGGATCTACATCTTGCCCGCGCGGTTGCCTGTGCGGCGGCCTCCTCCCCAGATTCCCATCTTATTAGAGAGTCGGCACGGAGGTTGGCCCCCTTCTTCGGCGCACCCGAGGGCGGCGCCAGGGACCCCGCGGACGGAGAGGGGCCCAGACCTCCAAGGTGTCGGCATACAGTTAACCATGAAAGCAAGGAGGGGGCAACTTTCCAAGGCTACCATTGCATCCTTGCCCCTTCGGTATTCGGCATCCTTCGGCATTCTGCTGCGCCGCACACGGAAAACGTCAACATGGCGTTCCAAGGCCCTCGCATCCTTACCGCGCATCCGTGCTATCCTGGTCGAGTGTGCATCGGCACGAAGGGTGTTCGCCACTCTCGGCGCTCGGGCGCCCTCGCCAAGGACCGCGGGACCGTCGCAAACCGACTCAGGGTGCACAGCAGGCCCCGGGGGCCCTGTGTGGAGAAATCAGCACGTCGGATCTGTGGCTCCCTCGCCTCGCCTCTCTCTCGCATGGGGCCTCGTTTCGCAGGCGATTTCCAAACATCCCCGAGTTCCCACCCAAAAGGCCTGGGCGCTCAGAGAATGAGGGAAGCTCGGGGTACGCCCTCGGGGGGGGGGGGGGGCATTCGGACGCACCCCCATCGAGGACTGCCGTACGTCTTTGAGTTTGGCCAGGGTATCTGGCCCATTCGAAGACCCACAAAATCGGGCCGCCCAGAAAAATGAAGTTTGGGGAGGCACCCTTGGGTGGGTCATTGGGACTCACTCCCATGATGCCCCCGCGAGTTTCACCCTTGTTGACGATATTTGACTTTGCTCTTCCTCCGCCAGATCCCTCCTCGCCCCCTTCCTGCCGAGCAGGTCGAGCTGGAGAACTGGGCGCTCCCCGTGTTGCACGTGGGCGAGCGATTCTTGCACGGCACCGAGGGGGATGGATGGGGGGACGTTCGCAAAGCTCCAACCGATTGGTGCGTCCCGGGCGGAGTGATATGCACAGGATGGACAGGCTGGTCTGTAGTCCCTGGGGACGACATTTTTCCCATAAGCTTACATATTTGTGAGGGTGTGTCCCTATCGTGGACGAAGAAAGAAACGAAGGGTCATTCAGCGCATTCAGCGGGCGAGTTGATTAAGACGAGCAGGCATGCCAATCACGTTGGTGCATGTCTATGGACACAGTGGATCCCAGCGGTTTGGCCGTTTGCAGCGGTGCCCCGTGGCGTCGATTCTATCGATCGCGGCCGTATCCTTGATTTAATCCGGGCGGTGCACATCCTTCTTGTCCTCCTCGTCCTCCTCACTTTCCCTTTGCCCTCCATCTCCCCATTCTCTGCAAACTTATCTGCCCCTAATGGCGCGTTTTGACCCGCATGTCGAGGGGGGTCCAGACGCTGCGAAAAGGAGCCTCCCCGAGGAGTATTGTCGAGCCCCCCGCTTCAGGTACTCCTCCCTCAAAATCGGCCCCGCAGATCTCTCCTGCGGTTCGTTCCGACCGGAATTTCGAGTGGAACCCAGCAGTCCGTGGCGACGAGAAGCTTCCCGAAGGCCCACGAAAAGCCAAGAACATTATTCTCCATGCGGGTCGACGACGATAACGAATCGCCAGACCTCTCCTGGGGCGCGTTTCGACCAGGATTTCGAGGGGAATCCAGCCTGGACGTCGAAGAAACCCAAGGAGGCCCCCAAATGACTACTCTGAAAAACGATCCTCCAATTTCTATCCTCGAATCTCGAACTTCCCCACCTCGTGCATCCCACAATCAAACTTGACCTCCGTAGCCGCTATGGCTCAAGGAATTGGCTTCGAGCTTTCCACACCATCCTTCAATTCCCGTCATTTCCGTCTTTCCTTCCCCATACCCTCGTCGTCCGATGGCCAGCAGGAGCACGCGGATGCTCGGGACGCCAGTTCGACGAACTCTCGAACGCGACGTTCGCCAACGATGCTTCAGCTCGCTCCACGAGATGGGCGACGGGCCGAACGGCCCCGATTCCCTCGGCTCCCCTCTCCGTCCGGAGGTCCATCGGATCTCTTCGCCAGTGGCCCCGAACACCCCGGAGGGGGCAGCTGTGCAGCCGTCGACGCTCCAACAGATCGCGAGTTGTCTGAAGCACGAGGGGTACACTGCTGTGGCCGCTGGCCTTCCGACGATCGGCAGCACGGAGAGTGCCAAGAATTGGACAGAGGCGAACATGTGGGACCTCTACGGGCCGCAGCCAGCACAGGTGTATTCCAAAGGGGAGCTTCGTGGACCCATCTTCGCTCGGTTTAGGAACCGTGCTGGTCCGTGCTGACAGGGACATTGCCGTGGAATTCGTTCGCCAAGCCTCTCTCAATGAGGGCGGGAATGATATTTGGGCAAAGAGGGACATGGCTCTCCCTGGGCGCATCCTCACGTTTATCGCGTCTAGCGTCAAGCACCTTCTCAAACAGTGAGACCTCGCGGCTGAGAGCGTCTGGGCGGGCGCGGATGAGGGTAAGGTGTGGGCTGGTGCGGATGTGGCTGTGAACAGGGTGATCGTGAGCAACTAATTTGAGACCGACTTTGGCACGGGCTGGGCGGAATGGTTCAAGCAGGACGGCTACACACATTTCCAGGACTTGGTCGCGAACCTCAGCGCCGAGTTCTGTAATATCCCGTCCAATGGTTTTGGGAAAAACAAGACAGGGAAAAGGACGGTTGCCGTCAAGGGCAGCAAGTGTAGGGACGCCAACAGTGTGTGATCAATGGCGTTTCGCTTGCAGGATGTGGACTTCCAGTTGGCCAAACCACGCTGCCATGTTCTGCGGTTCGGGGTGGTCGTTTACGGCCTGCCACGGCCGCGACATTGCATCTAGGAACATCGAAGGGCATGCCGACTCTAAACAAGTTGAGCTGTAATACATGGTAAGCCAACTCGACATCAAGAAATTTTGCCCACAGGAAACATGGATATCGACATTTAGCACATGCGTCGCGGAGGCTGGCATCCTCGCTGTTTTTTTTTTCCAGCGGCGCTGGCGACCCAGTGGGCGATCGGGCGGGATTGGGTTTCATCGTGCATCCAAGCTTCAGGCGCCCAGCGGTTGGATTTTGCAAGCGACGGACCGTATGGCATCGCTCAAGCTTCGGATCTCAGGAGGTCGGGCTGTCGTTTTCTCTGCGTGCGCCCCGGCCCAATGCGACACATCCTAGGCGTGTTCCCATGCCTTCCACGAGGAGTGCGAGCAGACGGGTCGGAGGATCATGCCGCATCTCTGATGCATCGGCTTGGCGGCTCGATGTGCAGCCCGGTTTTCTTCACGCCGGCGCCGCCGATGCATATGAGATGCATGGATGATGCGGCGCAGTTTTCCGAATTCTTTTTCTCGGCCCCCATTAAACTCCGCTCTCCTCTGGGGGGTACTCCGCCCCGCCCTCCCGCGGCGGCCTTCTCCGGTGTCGCAGCGGGGGCCCAGGGCGGTGGCGTAAAGGAGGTCCGAGATGGGAATGATGGCCATGGCGGGGGGCATCATGGCCAAGGCCATGATATCTGCCAGTTTTTATGGCACCTTCTTTTATATCCACGCACGAATGTGGAACGATGCCTGACATGCTCGTACAACTACAAAGAAGGAACACACTACTTCACACATCTGGCCCCCCTCCCTTTCTCTGTTTCTCTCTCGCTCTCTATATATGTCTCTCCGCACGCGAAACGGATGAAACCCTGGCCCCCCCCCCCCGCGTTTCTCACAGGAGGGCACCGTCTTAAATCAAAATCTTACATGCGCCCGCACGGAAAGGAACGACGACGGCGAAGACGACGACGACGTCGACGAAAACGACGACGACGTCGACGAACATGACGACGACGACCACGACAACGACCACGACGACGACGACGACGACGACGACGACGACGACGACGACGGCGGCGGCGGCGGCGGCAACGACGACGACGAAGACGGCTACTGCCGCATGGAATGGGCGCTCGCCAGGCCGGACAGCCTTGCACGTGGCCGCGGCCGCGGGCCATGTCGGACTGCCGCCCGCCAGGGCCCGAGGGGTTGCGCGGCGTCGAGCCTGTGAGGGCCACCGCTGACGGGGGTCACCGCTAACGGGGGTCAGCCAATGCCCTGTGCCTACCCTTGCCTCAGTTTGGTGTTTTTGGGCCTTCTTGAAGGCTCTCGTCGCCGCGGCTGGGTTCGCTTCGGAAATCTGGTCAGAACGAACGCCATGAGAGGTCCAGGGAGTAGCGGTATCGGTATCTTCTGGTCCCCCCGTGACGGGGGTCAGCCACTGCCCTCTGGCTGGCCTTGATTCCCCTTTTCTGCCCTCCGCTGACCCGAGTTTGGGAGCTACTGAGCGGTCGGCTGGGTTTCGCGACAGGGCCCTGGCCTACCCGGATCATTACGTGGGTTTGCGCTGACGGGTGTTTGTGTGTGTGTGTGCCCGACGAGCGCGGAGGGTCCAGGGGTAATGCCAGGGAGGGGAATCGAATGCAACTCTTGGGGGGTTTGAGTCAGCATCGGCGCCGATATGTCCGTGGTCGAACGCCTGTTTGATCCAGTCCAATCCCACTTAATATCGCTTAGCGCCGCCTGATCCTGAGCTCCCGTGTTACATCCAGCCGATTCTTGGGCAGAATCTGGGTTGATCTGGCTCAGTGGCCCCTTAATCAGGCTCATTTGCATTTTTCCTTTCTTGCGAATACATCTTAGCAGTTTCCTCCTATGGGAGGAGCGGTTCGGGGGGGAACTATCGACCCCCCATCGCGCACTCCTCGCCCAGGAACGTGCGGTTTCGCTCGCCAGGGCCTGTCGCCAATCTATCGGCGAAGCATCGCCTATTTCAATCCATCCGAGGTTGATGGAACCCCCGCCCTGGCAAGAATTGCCCCTGGTATGCGGCCGCGCTTTTTGCGGGCTGCGCTCGCCGGTTTGGGTATTGGCTCGTTTTCACTCAATTGTTGCTTTGCTAAAGGGGAGTTATGACCACCGCTAAAACCAATGGTACAGTCGGACCGCGGCATAAGATCGAGGTCGGTTCGAAAAGGGTACCCTAATGTTCGGAAGCGCGCCACTGGATCACCCTGTAATTGAAAAGGGGGGGGGTCGGACCCCCTCCCTTCAAAGGGGGGGTGACATTTTCGACTCCTTCCCCCCTCCACCCTTTTAAAAGGGGTGGGGGGGGGGTCTGACCACCCCGGCCTCCCTTGGAGCGGGGGGTGCTCCGGGCCCCCCCCACTTGGCGCTGGAAAGGGGGGGGGTATCGACCCCCCCCACCCTCCCCCCCCCTTGCGCAAGACAGAGAGCTGGGAAAGGGGGCCTCTCCCGCTGTTCCTTTCTGCGCCGGAAGGTGGGTAGGGAATATGACGTATGGAATGGTCAGTAGTGAGTAGTGAGTAGAGAGTCGTGAATCGAGAGTAGCGACTCGTGCGTAGTGCGTAGTGAGTGGTGATAGTGAGTAGTGAGTAGTAGTGAGTAGTCACCAGTGAGTAGTGAGTAGTGAGTCGTAAATCGTGAGTAGAGAGTAGCGAGTAGTGCGTAGGGAATAGTGAGTAGTGAACAGTAAGTAGTAGGTAGTGAGTAGTGTGTAGTGTGTAGTGGGTAGTGGGTAGTAAAAAATGACTAGCGACTAGGGAGTAGCGAGTAGAGACTATTGAGACCAGAGTAGTGGGTAGTGAGTTGTGAGCAGCGAGTACGGAGTAGGCAGCAGGGCGTAATGAGTAGTGAGTAGCGAGTAGGGAGTAGCGAGTAATGAGTAGTGAGTAGAGAGTAGTGAGTAGTGCGTAGGGAGTAGTGGTATGTAATGAGATGTCAGAGGTGGGTAGGGAATAGTGGGTACTGAATAGTGAGTAGTGAGTAGTGAGTAGTGAGTAGTCAGTAGTGAGTAGTGAGTAGTGAATAGTGACTCGTGGGTAGTGAGTGGTGAGTAATGAGTAGTGAGTAGTGAATAGTGAGTAATGCGTGGGGAGTTTGAGCTGTGGGTTTATTGGGGAATCGTGAGTAGTGGGTGGCGAGTAGAGAGTATTAAGTAGCCAGTTGCGAGTAGGGAGTAGCGAGTAGTGAGTAGTGAGTAGTTAATAGTGGTTACTTGATAGGGAATAGTGAGTATACATATAACGGCGCACCGGGTCCGGGGGCCCGGGGCCGGGACCTCGACCACAAATGTGCACCCCGGGGGGCCCGGAGGCTCGTCGGGGCTTGCCAGAGGCCTCCCCGGTCAGACAAGACGGCCCAAGGAACGCCCAAGACGGCCCAAGAAACTTCCAAGAGGCCTCCAAGAGGGCTCCGAGATGCTGAAGATGGCCTCCAGACGTCCAAGGACGCCCCCAGGAGGCCCCAAGAAGCCTCCAACATGCGTCCCAAGAGGGCCCCTAGACGCAAAAAATTGCCCATTCCCTTCGTAAAACGTACATGTTCAACAAAGTTGTCTTTTGGGCTTTCCGACGTTACAGGACGGCCCAAGAGGCGCCCAAGACCGCCCCAAGACGGCCCAAGAAGCTTCCAAGAGGGCCCCAGGACAGCCCAAGAGGGCCCCAAGACGGCCCAAGAGGCGCCCAAGATGGCCCAAGAGGGCCCCAAGACGGGCCCAAGAGGGGGCCCAGAGGGGGACCACGAACCGCAAGCTCGAGCCTTCCGCCCCAAGAGGCCGCCAGGAGGCCCCCAGGAGGCCCCTCAAGAGGCCCCAGGAGACCCCAGACGTCCAAGGACGCCCCCAAGACGCCCCAAGAAGCCTCCAACATGCGTCCCAAGAGGGCCCCTAGACGCAAAAATTGCCCATTCCCTTCGTAAAACGTACATTTTCAACAAAGTCGCCTTTTGGGCTTTCCGACGTTACAGGACGGCCCAAGAGGCGCCCAAGACCGCCCCAAGACGGCCCAAGAAGCTTCCAAGAGGGCCCCAGGACAGCCCAAGAGGGCCCCAAGACGGCCCAAGAGGCGCCCAAGATGGCCCAAGAGGGCCCCAAGACGGGCCCAAGAGGGGGCCCAGAGGGGGACCACGAACCGCAAGCTCGAGCCTTCCGCCCCAAGAGGCCGCCAGGAGGCCCCCAGGAGGCCCCTCAAGAGGCCCCAGGAGACCCCAGACGTCCAAGGACGCCCCCAAGAGGCCCCAAGAAGCCTCCAACATGCGTCCCAAGAGGGCCCCTAGACGCAAAAATTGGCCCATTCCCTTCGTAAAACGTACATTTTCAACAAAGTTGTCTTTTGGGCTTTCCGACGTTACAGGACGGCCCAAGAGGCGCCCAAGACCGCCCCAAGACGGCCCAAGAAGCTTCCAAGAGGGCCCCAGGACAGCCCAAGAGGGCCCCAAGACGGCCCAAGAGGCGCCCAAGATGGCCCAAGAGGGCCCCAAGACGGGCCCAAGAGGGGGCCCAGAGGGGGACCACGAACCGCAAGCTCGAGCCTTCCGCCCCAAGAGGCCGCCAGGAGGCCCCCAGGAGGCCCCTCAAGAGGCCCCAGGAGACCCCAGACGTCCAAGGACGCCCCCAAGAGGCCCCAAGAAGCCTCCAACATGCGTCCCAAGAGGGCCCCTAGACGCAACAATTTGGCCCATTCCCTTCGTAAAACGTACATTTTCAACAAAGTTGTCTTTTGGGCTTTCCGACGTTACAGGACGGCCCAAGAGGCGCCCAAGACCGCCCCAAGACGGCCCAAGAAGCTTCCAAGAGGGCCCCAGGACAGCCCAAGAGGGCCCCAAGACGGCCCAAGAGGCGCCCAAGATGGCCCAAGAGGGCCCCAAGACGGGCCCAAGAGGGGGCCCAGAGGGGGACCACGAACCGCAAGCTCGAGCCTTCCGCCCCAAGAGGCCGCCAGGAGGCCCCCAGGAGGCCCCTCAAGAGGCCCCAGGAGACCCCAGACGTCCAAGGACGCCCCCACGACGCTTCGCGTCACCAATTTCTTCTCACAACGATTCCTGGGTCTGTGACTCGACAGAACCTAAGCGCGCGCGAAGCGCGCGCGTGGTTCTAGTAATGAATAGTGGGTAATGAGTAGTGTGTAGTGAGTTGGGAGTAGGGAGTAGTGACTAGTGACTAGTGACTAGTGGGTGGTGAGTAGTGAGTATTGAGTAGCGAGTAGCGACTAGGGAGTAGCGAGTAGTAAGTAGTGGGTAGTGGGTAGTGGGTACTGTGTAGGCAGTAGCGGGTAGAGAGTAGTGAGTAGTGAGTGTCGAGTAGTCAGTAGTGAATAGTGAGTAGCGAGTAGGGAGTAGTGAGTAGTGAAGAGTGAGTAGCGAGTTGTGAGTAGTGAGTAGTGTGCACTGAGTAGTGCCTGGTAAGTAGTGAGCACTGGATAGAGAGTAATGAGTCGTGAGTAGTGAGTAGGGGGTAGTGAGTAGGAAACATTGAGTAGTGAGTAGTGGGTAGTGGGTTTTGGGTAGTGAGTAGGGGGTATCGAGTACTGTTTGGGGCTAGGGTTAGGAGTTGGGATTAGGGTTTGGGGTTAGGGTGGGGATTAGGGTTAGGGGTGGTATAGAAGGGCGAAGCGGGCGAGTTCTGGAATCAGGGGGCGGCGTGGCGAAAGGGGGGGACGGAGGGGGGGTCGAATTTCGAGCCTAAGGGGGAGGGGTCGGACGGGGGGGGGGTCCTCGACGACGGACCGGGAAAAGGGGGGGGGTGGTACCCGACGACGGACCGGGGAAGGGGGGGGGGTCTCACCCCCCCCACCCCCCCTTGGGGAGCTCCAGCGGCGCGCCCTCCTAATGTTCTTCGTGTTTGTTGGACGCTCTTGTGCATCCTGTGGAGGGGCGCTCTTGGATGTTCTGTGTTTTTTTGGTTGGCGGAGGGTGTCATGTTCTTGAAGGATGTTCTTCTGTCTTAGGTCCGACTGCATCCCCCCCTGAACCATCCCCCCGTATCGTTCCACCTCATAGGGGCTGCGGCGGAGGTAGGGGTCGGACAAAACGGCGGAGGAACGGTTCGACGAGGGACGGAGGGACGAACGGAAGGGAGACGATCGGACGGTTCGAGGTCGGACGAAGGGACGAAGGGACGAAGGGACGAGGAACGGTTCGAGGTCGGAGGAAGGGACGAAGGGACGATGGGATCGACGATCCGGGGGTGGAGCGTTGTTGGCTTCTTCTGCGCCTTCCCGTCGCCGCTGCTGGATTCGCTTTGGTTTTTGCTTTGGTGCCAAAACGCACTCCAGGAGAGGTCCAGGGACAGAGTTTCAAGGGGGGCTTGGGTGGGAACGTGGGGGACGAGATCTGCCGTATGCAGCTGGGCTTTGGTCCGCTGCCAGGCGCTGTCCCCGAGGCACAGGAGCCCCTGGCGCCGGGAAAAGCTGCGTGAGCTGACTTCGGGGCTCAAGAGACGAGGGTCGATGCAAACGGGGGTCAGCCAGAGCGGTGGATCTTGCAGGATCCTGCAGGGCCAGGGTCGCACTGACCTGATCGTGCAGGATTTTGCAGGATCCTGCAAGGCCTGACTGACCCAGGTTTGGATTGACCCGGGTGAGCAGGTCCCCGATGACTCGCCAACTCCACCTGTAGTGTTTTTCACAACGTGGACCTTTGGGGTCGCGACAGTTTCCGCAGGACGGGCCCCACGGCCCAGTGAGGGCCCCAGGAGGCCGAAAAGTGTCAGAAGCCCGCCGTCGTGATTTTTTTTCATAGCGCGAGGAGGTGAGGGTCCCCGGTGGGTTTCTGGGCATCGCCCGGGTCTCCAGCGGCTTTTCGGGACGATCTGTGCACCCCCAGAACGCCTTCGACGAGGCGCAGCCGCTGAAAGTCACCCGGAGGCTAGAAATATGATTCGTGGATTACTCACGGAAAGACATATGGGACTCCTCCCGTGTTGGGGCGCCCAAGGCGTTTCACGACAGGGTCCCCCTGAGGTCCCGACCCCTTCCCAGGGGCTGGGTATTCACGCTCGGGCACTGCCCGATAGCCTCTCGGGGCTGGGCCAGGGCTCCCGGAGGCCGAACACGGCGAGGAGCCTCCATGTTGGGCTTGTCCGTGCGTTGGTCAGTCTCGTCAAGCCGCTCTCCATCCTCATTGGGCCACGGTATCTCAGCCCCACCATGCAGGAGGAGGCAGCTGGGGGCAGAGGGACAGGGGGAGGAGGGCGCAGGGGGCGCGAGGGGGCAGCGGGGAGCAGCGTGGAGCTGGGAGCGGGAGGGGGCAGCGGGGAGCGGGAGTGGGAGGCGGCGGGGGGAGAAGAGGGCGGCATCAGGGGGCGGCGGGGTAGGGAGGGGAGGGCGGGCAGGAAGCAGCAGCGGGCGGGGTGGAGCGGGCGTCACCCGACCAGGTGGGGATGGGTTCCGCGAAACCCGAAGGGAACAGCGATGTCCCCACCCATGGGGGGGCACGTCGGCCAGCAGGGCCAAGGCCATGTCCATGGGGGAAGGGATCGGTGAAGCGATGCTCAGTTGAGCGACATTGAAGAATGGGGTGGCTTCGTCGACATCCGCGCGTGAGTTTTCCGCGTAAGGTAAGCGTTCTGTCTTCCATGAGGCGTGTCGCGGTTGCGCAAGTCACCGCGTGAGGTCCTTGTGCCGTCATGCGTGAGATCCGTGTCTTGGCACTGCACCGCTTGGGCGCCCCTGGAGAGCGAGGATGCGTGGCCGCGCTGCTGAAGCTGCGCGCCGACGTCGGCGCGAGCACCAGCGATGGCCTCACTGCCCTGCACCTCGCCTGCCAGCGTGGGCGCGCGCGCGCTCGCCCGCCGCTGCCGACCTGCGCGGCTGCTCTCGGTCAAGGGGCTCACGTTCTTGGCTCCGGGCCTCCCGCACGGGGTCCGAGCAGGATGCCACCGCATCGGCGATGCGGCGCAATCCTCCGACCCCATCTGCTCGGGCCCCCCGTGGGAGGCGTCCAGTAGCCCAGACCTCCAGCGTGTGAAATAACCAATAGCCTGGTAAAGGATCCCAGCATATGCGGTTGTGAGTACCGCGATTGTGAGTATCCCCTTTGGTGGAGCCTCCTCTCGGGCCACGAAACGTGTGAGTGGTGTGCCGAAGTGCTGAGGAGAATGTACGCGGGCCCTGGCACTGTGGCAGTAGGTGGAGCTCCCCATGTGGCCACGAAACGTGAGAGGGCTGCGCCGACATGGTGCGGAGACAGCATGCGGGCCCCAGCACTGGGGCCATCGGTGCAGCTAGCTCCCTATGGGGCCGCGGAACGTGTGAGGGGTGCACCGAAATGGTGCGAAGAATGCATGCGGGCCCTGGTGCTGGGGCGTTACGTGGACCTCCCTCTAGGGCCACAAACCGTGCGAGGGTGCCCCAGAATGGTGTGGAGAAGGTAGGCGGGCCCTGGCATGGGGGCCGTGAGTGGAGCTCCCTCTGGGGTCACGAAACGTGTGAGGGGTCCGCCGACATGGTGAGGCAGCGGCATGCGACCTTTCCCACTGGGGCTTTCGGTGGAGCTTCCTATAGGCCCACGAGACGTGTGAGGGGTGTGCGAAAGTGTAGTAGCGGCATGCGACCTTTCCCACTGGGGCTTTCTGTGGAGCTCCCTCTGGGACCACGGAACGTGTGAGGGGTGTGACAAAGTGCGGTGACGGTGGCATGCGACCTTTCCCACAGGGGCCTTCGGTGCAGTTCCCTATGGGGCCACGAAGCTTGCGAGGGGTGTGGGAAAGTGCGGTGGCGGCGGCGTACGATCTGTCTCACTGGGGCTTTTGGTGCAGCTCTTTATGAGGTCACGACACGTGTGAGGGGTGTGGCAAAGAGTGGTTGCGGCGGCATGCGACCTTCCCCACTGGTTCCTCCGGTGCAGCTCCCTGTGGGGCCATGAAGCGTGTGAGTTGTGTGCCAAAATGGGCGGAGGAAGGCATGCGAATCTGGCCACTGGGGCCTGCGGTGGAGTTCCTCATGTGGTCACGGAACGTGCGAGGAGTGTGCCGAAGCCGAGGCTACGGCGGGCGGTGGCAGGGAGGAGGAGGAGGAGGAGGAGGAGGAGACGGGAGGAGGGGGAGGAGGAAGGAGGAGGAGACGCGGGGCGATGCGTGGTCAAAGCGAAGACCCAACACCACAGGATGGTTTGGAACAAGTGCAGAGGGTTTTCGCCGTGTTCGGCCCCCCCAAAGCCTTCGCTCCAGGCCTCTAGACCATCTAACAACAATTCAGAATGGACAGGGCCGGGAACTCCTGGAGCCCCATGGTGAAAAAATCAGAAAGAGCGTGGTCTACCGCTGCTGGCGGAACACCGGGGGGGGTCACTGGGGGTTCCCAACCCGTCCCCCCCCGCCCTCCTCTCGAAAACCGAGGGGGGGTCACTACTGGTTCGAACCCCTCCTCCCCTCTCCCAGTCCATCATGAAAAGGGGGGGGTCACTACCGGTTCGAACCTTCCCCCCCCCTCCAGAAAACCGAGGGGGGGGGTCACTACTGGTTCGAACCCCCTCCCCTCGAAAACCGGGGGGGTCACTACTGGTTCGAACCCTCCCCCCCCCTCGCCGCCGGCAAATGATTCCCGCTCCTCGGGACAGTTGGACAATGGTGGGGATGCTGGGACAGTGGTGGGAACTGGTGGTGGGGACAGTGGTGCGGGGATAGTGGGACAGTGGTGCGGACAGTGGTGGAGACGGTGGTGGTGGGGACAATGTTGAGGGGACAGCGGGACAGTGGTGGGGACACTGGGACAGTGGTGGGGACGATAGTGGTGGGGACAGTGGTGAAGGCGGTGGTGAGGACAGTGGTGGGACAGTAGTGTAGTGGGGAAAGAGGTGGGGGCAGTGGGGACAGTGGGACAGTGATCGGGACAGTGGGGAAGGTGGGACAGCACAGTGGGACAGCGGCGGGGACAGTGGGACAATGGTGGGTACAGTGGGGACAGTGGGGCAGTGGTTGGGACAGTGGGGAAAGTGGGGAAAGTGGGACCGAGGTTGGACAGTGGTGGGGAGATTGGGGACAGTGAGACACTGGTGGGGGCACTGGTGGGGACAGCGGGGACAATGGTGGGAACAGTGGGGACAGTGGGATAGTGGTGGGGACGGTGGTGGTGGGGACTGGTGTGGGGACAGTGGGAATGTGGTGGAAACAGTGGGACGGTGGAGTGTACAGTGGTGGTGGGGACAGTGGTGAGGGCGGTGGCGAGGACGGCGGTGGGATAATGGGACAGAGGTGCAGTGGGGGCAGTGGTGGGGACAGTGGGGACAGTGGTGGGAACAGTGGGACAGCTCAGTGGGACAGCGGCGGGGACAGTGGGACAGTGGGACAGTGGGGACAGTGGGACAGTGGTGGGGGCCGTGGAGAAAGTGGGGAGAGTGGAACCGTGGTGGGAACAGTGGTGGGGACAGTGGGGACAGTGCGACTGTGGTGGGGGCACTGGTGGGGACAGTGGGGATGGTGGTGGGAACAGTGGGGGCAGTGGTGGTGAGGACAGTGGTGCTGGGGACAGCAGTGGGGGATGTGGTGCGGACAGTGGTAGGGACCCGGGAGTCGTTTGCTGGCGGTGAGCGAGGGGGGGGGGGGGAGGGGTTCGAACTGGTAGTGACCCCCCCCGGTTGTCGAGGGGGGGGGGGTACCAACCGGTAGTGACCCTCCCGGCCCGGTTTTCGAGCGGGGGGGGTTCGAACCGGTAGTGACCCCCCCTCTGTTTTCTGGATGGGGGGGAGGGGTTCGAACCGGTAGTGACCCCCCTCTGGTTTTCTTGGGGGAGGGGGGGGGAGGGAAAGGGGTTCGAACCAGTAGTGGCCCTTCCCGGTTTTCCGGAGGGGGGGGGGTCCGAACCGGTAGTGACCCCCCCCCGGTTTTCCGGAGCGGGGGGGGGGGTTGGGAGAGGGGGTCCAGCAGGGGGGGGATTTTCGGAGGGGGGGGGACCCTCGGGCTCCGGAGGAAGAGGGGGGGAATTTTCCACAGTAAAGCGGCGGTGGATCACGCTCTCTCAAAGATCAAGACGTCGGGGTGGATACCCTTTTCCCTGCCTCCGCTGACCCGGGTTGCTGAAGTGGCGGCTGGCCTCCTGGGCTTGCGATGCGGCCCTGGCTGACCCAGGTTAGCGCGCCCCCCGAAATCGAGGAGATTGTTTTTTCATTCGTTGAGCCCTGAACGTCTGTTACGGGGGGGTCGCCCCCTGTCCCCCGCAATTGTAACGAACGTACGGGGGGAGGGCACGTCTCAGGTATGGCGCCGTGTTCTTAGGCACAGTGTGGTGCTGACAAACATCGGAGGGCCTCCAGAGGTCTCCAGACGTCTCAAGAGAGGTTATGAGGCCTCCTGAGACCTCTGAAGATCTTCAGAGGCGGCCGTTGTGGTCGTCACCATCGTCGTGGTCGTGGTCGTCGTCGCCGTCGTCGTCGTCGTCGTCGTTGTCGTCCTCGTCCTCGTCCTCGTCCTCGTCCTCGTCCATGTCGTCGTCGTAGTTGTCGTCGTCGTCTCCGAGCCGAGGGCCTCGAAGGGCCTTCAGAGGCCTCCAGATCCCTCCTGAGTCCTCCGGAGACCTCTCAAGACCTTCAGAGGCAGCCGTCGTCGTCCTCGTCCTCATCCTTGCCCTCGTCCTCGTCCTCATCCGACTGCGACCAAATCCCCCACGGTAACGTCCTTTACCAGGGGGGGTCCGGCCCCCGTTGGGAGGCAACGATAATGTGGTCGGGCCCCGCGGGGGTGGGCCCCAGGCGCACGACGACGACGACGACGACGGCGGCGGCGGCGGCGACGACGACGGCGCCGCCAACGACGACGACGACGAAGACGACGATTGCGGCGGCGGCGACGACGACGACGACGATGGCGGCGGCGGCAACGACGACACCGACGACGAGGACGTGTTCGGTCGGTCCGTTTCGGTCGGTTGTTGTGCCGCTGTTTGGTCGCTGTTTTTTTCCAGTCTGCTTGCGGCCTGTCTGTTTCGGTTTCGATGTCGTTTCGATTGGTTTTCGTTCTCGTCGTCGCCGTGGACGGCCGTATCGGCCTACCGCCATGAAAAGGAATGTCTCGACGTCGGCGTCTTCGTTCCAGAGTTCGTTGTGGCGTTTCAAGAGGCTCTCGTGGCCCTTGCTGCACGCAGATGGAACATCTCCCCAGGCTGGACCCTGGGAGAGCTTCGAGCACCACGGCCTGCTCAGCAGGGATCTCATCGCCCCCGTTTCTGTCAGATGCCCGGGCCGCTCGAGAATTCGGCGGTCTCTCTGGGCCAAGGCCGGACCTAGACGGTGTTTCGGCGATTTCGTGGGCCGTTTTCGTTTCGACTTCGTTTTGCGGTAGAGGCGGATTGAAGACAAAACGAGGGAAAACGAAAACAAAACGAACACGAAAAACACCGTTTAGGTTCAGCCCTGCTCTGGGCTAGAGGCCGGGCCCCCGAGGGAAGGGGCCCCTGAGCTCTCTCTCCCCGCCCTCGGCCGCCCGTGGCCTCTGCCCGGGCACTGCGACCGACAGCACGTGTGTGAGAGGTGGGTTCGGGATCCTCCTCGTCCTCCTCCTCCTCATCTGTCCTCCCCCCCCTCCTCCTCCTCCCCGCGGCCGCGGCCGGGGCGCAAGCTCGGCGCCTTCGCGCCTGAACCGCCGTCGAGCGGGCCGGCGCCCCCTGCCCCCTCTCCCACATGACCGCATGCGCATAGTATATTGGAACCCTCTCTCAGCGTCCGACCCCGACCGACTACACGAGATCACGCTCGAATACGCTCACATCGACATTGTAATTCTTGTGGGAACTGGGCGGAAGCGCATACTTGCACACGACCTTCAGCACGTGCCGCACTTCAGGGCTTTGCACTTCGGGTGGTCCCCACACGAAAACTACAGCAATTGCTCGTGTGGAATTACACTACTGCTTAACAAGAGCACCATCAAGGGTAAGAGTATCACTAAGATCTGGACCCCCAAGAAGTGTATCAGTGGACGTGCGGCGGCTGTGCGTATCAAAGGACACAACTTCGATCTGGTGGTGTGTGCATTGTACTATTGCCCACGTAGTCGGGACGGGCGGGAGCGTGCACGTATTCACAACACGGCAATGCACGTTACGGATTTCCTCACGTTTGTTCTCGCCTCCTTACCCAACCGCACTCTTCCCATAATTGCGAGGGATGCGAACGACGGTATCGGTCTTGCCCCTGGGACCCACGGTTTGGTACGAGTGGAGTCTGAGGCAGTGGGGCCATACGGTAGATCTGAAGAGCATCTGGCAGGGGGCTTGCTCAGACAAGCCGCGGAAGATTTTGACTTAGGCTTCCTGGATACGTTCTGGAGTTGCGGCCCCAGCTATTTTGGTCCCCGACATTCATCACGTATCGATCATGTCCTGGCTCCGATATCGGCGATCCCTCGAATCACCCGGTTTGGTCAGCTGTATCGATCGACCCGGAAGCTCCAGGCCATACCCGATGCGAGGCCCCGTGATCACATGGCGTTCTACCTAGAGCTTGATGTCCGTCTTCAGTACCAAGGGGGCGACGAACCAGCACGATGGGATTTTGTTCATCTAGCGCGTGCGCTTTCCTCTGAACGAGCAGCAACGCCGTTCCGGCAAGCTGTGGAAGAGGCCGTGGGACAGCACCTTGTTCAGAGCGGGCGCCAGTCAGTTGAAGAGCTCGTGCTCCACGCCCCCACCCTCGAAGACTCATGGGGACAGCTCGTGTCGATCCTGCAGGAACAGGGGGGTTTTCATTTTGGGGCATCCCCGCGTGCTCTACCACAGCAGTATCAGCTTCTCGCACGACAGCGCACGCAGGCCCTGAAGGATCGAGGGAAAGCTCGGAGTGCGATCGCGGATGATATCGAGACTGTTCAACGTCTGGGCCGGCTAACCCGACAATGCCGATCGATGCGACGCGAATTACACCGATTGCGGGAGGAACAGTTGGGACAGGAGCTGGAGGAGGCGCACCGACGGGGGGAAGCACAGGAGGAGTGGAGGATATGTCGCCTGTTGGCATGCAGCGGAATGGGTCCCCGGAAACGGAATTACAACCGTCTTTCAGATTCCCAACACAATGGACGAGTGGATATCAGACCTCGCCCTACCCCCCCAACAGGGCGGCATGCTTGCGACCCTGACCGACCCTGTCCAGGAAGACCGCTCTCAGGATATGCTTCACCAACACACCCAACTGTCGGACGATCACTGGTTGCGAGCCAACATCGACCGAGAACGCATCGCCGAGCGAATCTGAGTTGGGAAACGACGCCGGGCAGCAGTGCCTTGGTCGGTCCCCTCGGAGGTTTGGGCCCCTACCCGCTCGGTCCCCTCGGAGGTGCTTGGTCGGTTCCTAGTGCCGCGAGTCGGCCGACGCGGGCAAAGGGGAAGGGCAAGGAGAGGGGCCGCGTGCAGGGCGAAAAGCGCACCGACAGCAAGCTGGTGGGCGACGAGGTGATGGAGGGACTCGAGGAGATGGACGCCTCCGAGATAGCGATGCTCTTCCCCGTCGCGCTGAAGCTGCTGCTGAACTTGGGCGTCCGCACCCGGCAGCAGGAAGCCGTGGCGCTGATCGCCCTCGTCGCGCTGGTTGGTCTGCAGCCGGTGCTGCTCGCCCGTCAGCGGGTCAAGGGCTGGGTCGAGGTGGTCCAGAAGGCTCGCGCCGAGGCGAAACCCGAGGTCGAGATCGCCAATCACGGCGCGATCTCATTGGCGTGCGCGGTGGGACTCGTGGACGGTCTGGCCGAGGAGGGGGGGGGCGGTGGGGCGTGCCAACGGCAAGGCCTTACCGAGATGAGGCAGCACGTGGACTCTTTGCCCATGGACGCGGCGTCGGATATCTTCATGATGGTGAAGGTCAGCAGCGCCTGCAAGGAGACAGACGTGAAGATGCAGCTCAACGCGAACGCGCAGACAACCGTGATTGCCAACTGTCTCGAACAGTTCGGAGCCGTTCGCAAACGCGGCGCGGCGCCAATGAGCCATCTCGAGCGCGTCCTGCACGCCGGCCTGGACGCCCACAGCATGAAGTAGGCGTCGGCCCGGGGAGTGAAAAATGGAATCGGCGTCGCGACAATTCCTGCTTTTTTTCCCGCAGAGGTGGCGAGCGGCAGGCGTTGCGACAGAAATCGCCTATTGATCCCGACCGTAGCGTAAGTGCGAAGTCGCCTAGACAGGGTAGTCATAATACGAGGGGGATCGCAACGCCACATCATGCGTCCCCCCACCCCCGTGTCCGCCACCGCCACGTCGCGAGGGAGATGGAGGCCGCGGCGCGCGGTCTTGGGGAGCGGGCCAGGGCATTCCTCTAACCTCTCCTCCCTCCTTTGTTTTTCCTGCGCTGGCTTCCCCCCCTCTCTCGCCCGCTGTGCTGCCCGCTTATGCCGGGGGGGCCGGTAGTTTCGAAGCTACGTAGGCCGCGCAGGGGGCAATGGCCCTCAATCTTCGAGTGTAGCTCGGTCCTAGAGCACTTCACCAGTCTTCAGACACAGACGCCAGCTCCAGAGGGGTCCGTCCGTCCCCCTCCCCCTCCTCCGCCTCCTCCCCCTCCTCCCCCTCCTCCGCCTCCTCCCCCTCCTCCTCCTCCTCCTCCTCCTCCTCCTCTCGCTTCCCCTCAAGACCAGATCCTGCTGCCGCCGTGTGTCCCCCTGGCGCCGCCGCCCTGGGTCGTGGCTGCGCCCCCCCCCATCCCTCGCCCCTGCCTCCCTGCCCACTTCTGCTGCTGCTGCTCCTCCTCCTCGGCCGCGGCGGGCTCGGATGGCGGTGGCAGCCAGCGCGTGGCCCGCGCCGTCTCCTGCGAGCAAATGTGCCAACCTTCTTCTCCCAGCACTGGCACGCGCGCGCACGCGATGCCCAGCGTGTTTGTGCATCAGTAGGCCCTGACAGTGTCGTCTGGCAGTCTCATGCTCCAGGGAACAGTTCGCCAATGCGATCTGCGCTCCTAGATGGGGGCCTCGTTGAGTTCACCAAGGGCGCGCGCGCGTACACGCATGCACGCGTGCACACGCGTGCACGCATATACACGAACATAAACTACACAAACACATAAGCATACCCGCATGCACGCGCCCAGGCACGCGCGCACTCACACGCGCACGCACGCACGCGCCCACACCCACACACGCACGACAAACTGCACGTGCACACACCCACACCCACGCCCACGCCCACGCCCGCGCCCACGCCCACGCCCACGCCCACACCCACACACCAAAACACACACACACACCCACACACACACCACACCCACGCACCCACACGCCCACGCACGCGCAGGCGCACCCACACACGCGCACGCGCGCGCGCACGCACACGCACGCGCGCACGCGCACGCACGCGCACACGCACACTCACACGCACACGCGCACGCGCACACGCACACGCGCACGCGCACGCACACACACACACACACACGCACGCACGCACGAACGCACGCACGCACGCACGCGCGCACGCGCACGCGCACGTTCACGCGCACGCGCGCGCACGCGCACGCGCACGCGCACGCGCACCGCGCACGCGCGCACACGCACACGCACGCGCGCGCACGCGCACGCGCACGCGCGCGCACGCGCGCGCACGCGCACGCGCACGCGCACGCGCGCACACGCACACGCACACGCACACGCACACGCACACGCACACGCACACGCACACGCACACGCACACGCACACGCACACGCACACGCACACGCACACGCACGCGCACGCGCACGCGCACGCGCCGCGCACGCGCACACGCGCACACGCACACGCGCACGCACACGCGCACGCGCACGCACGCACACGCACACGCACACGCACACGCACACGCGCACGCACGCGCACACGCACACGCACACGCACACGCACGCGCACACGCACACGCACACGCACAAGCACAAGCACAAGCACACGCACACGCACGCGCACACGCACACGCACACGCGCACGCACACGCACACGCACACGCACACGCACACGCACACGCACACGCCCACGCCCACGCCCGCGCCCACGCCCACGCATCCGCATCCGCATCCGCATCCGCATCCGCATCCGCATCCGCATCCGCATCCGCATCCGCATCCGCATCCGCGTCCGCATCCGCACCCGCACCCGCACCCGCACCCGCATCCGCATCCGCATCCGCACCCGCACCCGCACCCGCACCCGCACCCGCTCCCGCACCCGCATCCGCATTCGCGTCCGCGCACGCACACGCACACGCGTCGGCATCCGCATCCGCATCCGCATCCGCATCCGCATCCGCACTCGCGTCCGCGTCCGCATCCGCATCCGCATCCGCGCCCGCGTCCGCATCCGCACCCGCATCCGCATCCGCATCCGCATCTGCATCCGCATCCGCATCCGCATCCGCATCCGCATCCGCATCCGCATCCGCATCCGCGCACGCCCTCGCACTCGCACTCGCACGCGCACACGCACACGCACACACACACGCGCACACGCACACGCATACGCATACGCACACGCACACGCACACGCACACGCACACGCACATGCACACGCATACGCACACGCACACGCACACGCACACGCATACGCATACGCACACGCACACGCACACGCACACGCACACACGCACTCGCACTCGCATTCGCACTCGCACCCGCACTCGCACTCGCACTCGCACTTTCACTCGCATTCGCGCTCGCACTCGCACTTGCACTCGCACTCGCACTCGCACTCGCACTCACATGGGCCGGCACAGGCACAGACACAGGCACACGCGCGCACATGCACATGCGCCGCACATACGCACACAAGCGCACTCACACACATACGCACATACGCTCATGCGCACACAAGCGCGCACACGCACATGCACACCCACGCCCACACGCACACGCACACGCACACGCACACGCACAAGCGCACGCACACGCACACGCACACGCACACGCATTACGCACACGCACACGCACACGCACACGCACACGCACACGCACACGCCCACGCCCACGCCCACGCATACGCACGCGCACACGCACACGCGTCCGTATCCGCATCCGCATCCGCATCCGCATTCGCATCCGCATCCGCATCCGCATCAGCATCCGACTCCGCTCCCGCTCCCGCATCCGCATCCGCATCCGATCCCGCATCCGCATCCGCATCCGCATCCGCATCCGCGTCCGCCTCCGCATCCGCATCCGCATCAGATTCCGCATCCGCGTCCGCATCCGCATCCGCATCCGCATCCGCATCCGCATCCGCATCCGCGTCCGCATCCGCATCCGCATCCGCGTCCGCATCCGCATCCGCATCCGCATCCGCATCCGCATCCGCACACGCACTCGCGCTCGCACACGCACACGCACACGCACGCGCACGCGCACGCGCGCACGCGTACGCGCACGCACACGCACACGCACACGCACACGCACACGCACATGCACACGCACACGCACACGCACACGCACACGCACACGCACACGCACACGCACACGCATACGCATACGCATACGCATACGCACACGCACACGCACACGCACGCGCACACGCACACGCACACACGCAATCGCACTCGCACTCGCACTCGCACCCGCAGCCGCACTCGCACTCGCATTATCACTCGCATTCGCACTCGCACTCGCACTCGCACTCGCACTTGCACTCGCATGGGCGGCACAGGCGCAGACACAGGCACACGCGCGCGCATGCACATGCGCCGCGCATACGCACACAAGCGCACTCACACACATACGCACATGCGCTCATGCGCACACAAGCACGCGCACACGCACACGCACGCCCACACCCACACATATACAGACACACACACACACGCGGTTTATGTAGGCGGCTAGGCAGAGTAACTGCGCTGGCGGAAGAGCTATCTTAACGGGGGCACTGTTGTAGCGAATTGTGCCACAATGCAGGAGAATGGGAGAAGACAGGGGGGGCGGCCGAAAAAGGGGGGGATGAGCGAGGGTCCCGCCTGGAGCGTGTGGCGCGGCCGGTCCCGCCGGCAGGGTCTGCGGCGGCTGCTGCGCCTGGGTCCGGCGGCGGCGGGGCGCAGCGCGGGGGCCGGGGCAGCCCTGTTGATCAGGGTGCAAAGGAATAAGTGCCAAAGCCACAAGTTGATGGCCGCGTCGCCCAGGACGGGAGCGGGCGCGGTGCGCCCGCCGGATGCTTGGCCGCTGCAGCGGCGGGCGGCAAGACCAGGCCCGGGGCAACAGCGCGGCGGTTGTAACCAGCCGTTCATCGCCATGGTGGCGCGCGGAAGGAGGGAGAGAAAATGGGGCGGGGGGAAGTGGACGGGGAGGAGGGCCTCCGCCTGCGGAGACCCACAGGCGGGGAGGCGGCGCCAGGCAGCGGCGGCGGCGTCGGGCACCACCGCGCGCGGGGGAGATGGTGTCCACTGGCGCCCCGCGGGGCACCAGGGGCTGTCGCTGCCTGGGTGGGCAAGGTGAGCTGGCCGCTTGGCGATGCGTTGGTGAGAATGGGCCCCTCTGCCCGGGTGAACAGGATGGGCCAAAGGGGGACAAGTGGGGCCACCACCGTCGAAGTAGACGGCAACGGGCTCGCCTTGGCCGGCCAAAACTACGGCCGAAACCAGGGCCTCCAGCCCGGCGGGCGAAGGCGGGGGGCTGGGAGGGGCACCGAACAGGTGCGCTGCGGTAAGCGTGGGGGGCGCTCCCCCTGCCCGGGTGGACAGGGTGGGGAGGGGGGGCCCCCGCCGTCAGGAAGACGGC